TGCAAGCAGGTTGTCTCGCTCCGAGTTAAAGTTACAAGTGTGTGCAAGCAGGTTGTCTCGCTCTGGGTTAAAGTTACAAGTATGTGTAAGCAGGTTGTCTCGCTCTGAGTTAAAGGTACAAGTATGTGCAAGCCGGGTGTGGCATGACGCAAAGTTACAAGTATGTGCAAGCAGGTTGTCTCGCTCTGAGTTACAGCTACACGTACGTCCTAGCAGGTTGTGTCGCTGGGGAAACGAGCTCACACTATCTAGGGGTGGTCACCATGCTTCCATATCAGCCACACGCTATTGTCCGTATATGTGGATTGCACATTGTGGTTTGTGAGAGTGGGTTGTAAATGAGAAAGACTATGTGCAGTACACTTTATATCCGGGCTTTTGCTTGTGTGGCAACTGCGTATGATTCGTCTGGTATCGTAGTATAGTGGTCCACTCCATTACAGTTGTTGTGAGGTGTCTAGTGTCTACCACTAGAGCGACTAGTAAGGCTGGTTGACATGCCTGGTCTATACCGACAGCATGCTTTGCGCTTCATGTGTGGTGATTGGCTGGTGTGCGTAGAGGCGGTGCCTGTTCATTGGTACTTCGATTCAGCACCGTAGTGTATCTGCATATGCGACATCTTCCGTTGTATGCTTCTGACAGGGATAGATGTCTTAGTTCAAGCTCTTTGCAAGCCGTTTCGGCCTTGCAGATGCTATGGGTTACAAATTCTATGTCCGATAAAATATTTATCAGACAAAGTCTTCTTGCTCTCGTCCATTCCTCTAACCTACTCACAGTCACACCTTACACCGAGTTGACATGACTGCTCGGTTGTTGGGCTAGAGCTAGCTCACTTTGTAGTGTGTGAGATACAATGCGTGGTGATATCAAAACACCTGCACCGCGAAAGCAGCACAAGCACTCGCGGGTGTTGTTGTTTTGTCTCAGGTTGTCGTATGTCTTACCATGAACATACTTCCGGGTACTTGTCCACTACAGCCTCTCCGTGAGCGTTGCTATGAGTTTGTATCACCTAAAGCTGGCGGGGGCTATGGAGAAAAGTAAGTGTATGC